AGAATGACAACAACACATTCCACAATCCTATTCCTGTCTATTCCCCCCTCCCATCAACTATACTAATGAAACAACATAATGAAATAAGAGAAAGTGTGGCAGGCCAAAATTCTAAAAGGGATATCCTTGAAGGGATACCCTCCTTCTCTAAAGCTCCCCGTCACCCTGACAACAAGGGATTGTCATTGTCAGAGTGGGACAAAGTTTATCGCATCCCATAAATCTCATCTAATCTATCTGGTTGTCTGAGCATCCTTATCTCAGCTGCTATAGTTTCAAGGAAAAGCATCTGCTCTCTGAGAACTTGGAACTTATTGCACCAAGCGTCTCCAAGAGGCAAATAGTTACATGTTTGACACTATGTAAAGTAACCTGGAAAATTCCCCCTCACCTGTTTGGCCTTCTCCTTCTATACTAGGTACTCGTAACTTTATATTCTCCTTCTTTATGACTAGTTCAACTAAAAGATGAACTGTTTCAGAAGACAGAGCCTTGACTTCTTTGCCCAGTAACTGATTTCACTTCTGAAATAGTGACCGTGATTTGGGAAGGCACAGTCAGAGTGTTTCTCCCCTGCCAAAACCCCTCTCCAAATTCTCCTGTTCTTCCATGACCTGCTCAAGCTTTTTGCAAGTTCTCAGCTGCTTCTCCTGTTTTCAAAGAGTGCTTGGGTGGGACTGAATTCATGTTTGGAAACAAAAAACTTCATGGGTGGTGGTAATTGCGACTACCAAGACATGAGGAGGTGTACTTGTGCGGTGAAGTGTGAAGATAACCTGAGTTTTTTTGACTTTGCTTTTAACCTCTGGTATTCCCACAGAGGTTCATAATTATCCCAGACTTACTGTATTTTAAGCAAAATTTGAAGACTTGGATATTTCTCCAAACCCTGGGATAAGGAATTGTGTTTTGCACACATTTTTTTTTAAATCAAACCTTGAACCTTTTTGAGTTCTGCCATTTTTTATCTGATCTTACTGGTGGAGGATTTAGGTCGCCTGTTTTTGCTTTAAACTGCCCAGTGTTGGTTGACTTAGGCTGCCCTATAAATATGATTGATTAAATAAATAAAAGACAAGTTGCTGTTTTGTTTATGGCAGTGCCGATGCTGTGAAACAGCCTCACAGGCAGAGATCAGGCTACCCCCCCCCCCCGTGCGCTTGTTAATGTTTCAGAAGCTTTTAAAAACAGTTGTTCTGGAGGGTCTTCTCTTGATTTTAGCATGCCGTTTTCATTTATGTTGTTTGCAGTTTTCCATATGGGTGGTGTCATTGTTTTACTGCTTTTATAGTTACGATAACATGGGTGTTTTACTTTATACTCTATGTAAACCATCAGGAGTCTCTGGATTGCCGCAGGGCAGAAATGTAGAAAATCATTCATACCACATTTCAGCATAACTATTGTGATATACTTCCCATTTGGAAATGGCAGCATTGGCATTGCTCTGGGCTTTCTCCTATCTTATCATAATTGAATTACCTTTCTAGAAAGGTATACTTAAGAAGATATATATTTGTGCTGGGGGCTTGTCGCTTTGAACTTGGTGCAGCGGTCTAGATTGTGCAGTTGTAAACTAGAAGACAATGAATGTGAATCTGCTCCAGGGGTGGGTTTCTCACCCCGTTCCAACCGGTTCGGTTGGAACGGGGCG